AGAAAACAATGGAAATATTGAAATCGTTGCTTCATACAATTATCGCCATGATTTTCATTACAATACGAGGGCCCAGGAGATGGCACTTGTCCATGCCTGGAGAACAGCGCCCCTGCACTCACTCACTTGTCCACGCCTGGAGAACTGCGCCCGTGTAGTTCTCTCACACCTCCTTTTCCCTACATGCACAGATAAGAAACAGAACTTTTTTTCGGAGACAGAGTTTCTCTGTAGCTTTGGAGCCTGTCCTGGAACTAGCTCTTGTAGACCAGGCTGGCCTCGAACTCACAAAGATCCACCTATCTCTGCCTCCCAAGTGCTGGGATTAAAGGCATGCGCCACCACTGCCTGGCATTAGAAACAGAACTCTTATTGAAGACAGTGCCACTGGTTTTCATTCTCATAGAAATATTGTTCTGGGCTGGAGAGATGGCTCAGTGGTTAAGAGCATTGCCTGCTCTTCCAAAGGTCCTGAGTTCAATTCCCAGCAACCACATGGTGGCTCACAACCATCTGTAATGAGGTCTGGTGCCCTCTTCTGGCCTGCAGACATACAGACAGAATACTGTATACATAATAAATAAATATTAAAAAAAAAAGAAATATTGTTCTTAATCTGTGTTCTGAAGGATGTATAAAGATTCAGGGCTTTTGAAATGTATCGTTTTTTTGTTTTGTTGGTTTTTTTAAAACAAATTATTCATAAATTCAAATCTTTCAGAAGTAGAATTCTAAATAATAAAAGATATTTTGTCCAAAGTAAGTATTTGTTTCCTTATTGGGAGACAAAGTCTCACTATGTGTAGTCTCGGCTGACCTAAAATTCATGATTTACTTGCCTTAACCTTCCAAGCCCTGAAATTACAGGTGTCATTGTGGTCAGCCCAAGAGGGGGGTTGTGGTCTGCAGGTTAACTAAATTAAAAATAAAAAACCAACCAATAGGCAGAAATGTGGCAAGGAACTCCTCTCTCTCTCTCTCTCTCTCTCTCTCTCTCTCTCTCTCTCTGTGTGTGTGTGTGTGTGTGTGTGTGTGTGTGTGTGTAATTACATGTGCCTCTACTCCTAACAGGCAGGCATGAACTAGTCGCTGGAATATCTGTTATGGGACAACTCCACAGGTTTAATGAAAAGACAACAAGATTGGTGGCATGTCCCTGCACTGCTGGCTACTGGGGAAGCTGAGGTAGGAAGATGGATTTACCTAGAAGTCTAAGACCAGCCTGGGCAGCATAGGCAGACACTGTCTCAGCAAGCAAACAAAACACTCAGAGAGTGATGTGCCCTTGAGTGCATAGTTGGTTTGGCCACAGTGTGTGTAGTAGTTACTTTATATGCTGCTGGAACAAAATTAAAAACCTTTGTTCTTCATACATAGCCTTAGGACAACGCAAAAGGCAAATTAAGACTGGGAGAAATGTGGCCATCGCCATATCACTCCCCAGCAGCAGGAAGTCTGTCCAGCCATCCCTTGATTTTCTTCACAGAGAAGACAGGCACGTTTTTGGCTCCTGTATTATTGACAAAGTTGCTGAAGCTCCTACGGAAAGACCCAGGGAAATCCAGAATTTACACCACGTCCTCCCTTGAACATCTTGAGACGCAGAAAGTCAGAAAAACACGTTTTATTTTTTGGTGACAGAAATCAGGACAAGGACTGTCTGGAGAGTGAATGCAAACTCTTTGAAATGAGTGGCACATATCATGATTACGGTGGTGGACATGGGTGCATACATTTGTTGAAGGTCGGAGTTGAAAACGTTCACATCTTATTTTCTAGTCAGATTGCTTTTAAGTATACTGTAGTGTTTATCAAACTGCTGCTAGAGACCCACTGTGAATGAGCCATTAAAGGACAATGAATCATTATCCTGAAGGTAATGAGGCCCAGGCTTCTACTCAAAGGCTTGATTAATTTTCTATAGAATCTTGTGGGCTGAACACATGGTTTAGTGGGTAAAGGCACTTGCCACTAAGCCTGATGACCCAAGTTTTACTCCTAGGACCCACACAGTAGAACCAGAGAACTAACTCCCTGCAGGTTGTCCTCTGGCTGCCATACACTTGATATGGCACAAACACACCCACACATGAGTGAATGTAAAAACCTTTAAAAAATAACTTTACACCGGGGGGGGGGGGTGGCGCACACCTTTAATCCCAGCACTTGGGAGGCAGAGGCAGGTGGATCTCTGTGAGTTCGAGGCCAGCTTGGTCTATAGAGTGAGTTCCAGGACAGGCACCAAGGCTACATAGAGAAACCCTGTCTCAAAAAAGAAGGAAAAGGAGGAGGAGGAGGAGAAGAAGAAGAAGGAGGAGGATGAAGGAGGAGGAGAAAGAGGAAGAGGAGGGGGGGAGGAGGAGGAGGAGAAGGAGAAGAAGGAGGAGAAGGAGAAGAAGGAGAAGGAGAAGGAGAAGAAGAAGAAGAAGAAGAAGAAGAAGAAGAAGAAAAGACCACGACTTTACAACAGTACAATTATGAAAAAAAAAATTTGCAGGAATTCTAGGCTTCATTAAACCTGAATCTGCTACTAAGTAGCCAGAATTTCTTAATGAAATGGAATAGAAAATGTGAGTTTCACAAACTCTTTGCTTCAGTTTACTTGTAAAATTGTATTTACAAGATGGGCTTTTAATCCCAGCACTCAGGAGGCAGAGACAGGTAGATCTCTATGAGTGCAAGGTCAACCTGGTCTATAAAGTGAGTTTCAGGACAGCCAAGGCAGTTACACAGAGAAATCCTGTTTCTAAAATAAGGTAAAATAAAATGTTAAAACAAAATAAAATTGTATTTACTATCGGTCTATGTGTCTGCTGTGGGAGTCTGTGGTCTCCTTCAACTGTGGGGTTCCAGAGATTGAATTTAGGTCATCACGATGGCCTGGAAAGAGCTTTTGCCCCCTTGAGCCATCTCGTCAGTCCTGCTTCAATTTGTACAATGGGTCAGGTTGAAACATTTATTTACAACCAAGGTGTGTGTTTGGACATGCACACATGTGTGTACACACACGGACATCGAAAACTCAGTGCTGTGTAAGAAATCTGTATTAGAAAATTATATATATATATATATATATATATATATATATATTAGTGTGCTTGAAGAGTGGACTTTTTTTTTTCTGGTTTTTCGAGACAGGGTTTCTCTGTGGTTTTGGAGCCTGTCCTGGAACTAGCTCTTGTAGACCAGGCTGGTCTCGAACTCAGAGATCCATCTGCCTCTGCCTCCCAAGTGCTGGGATTAAAGGCGTGCGCCACCACTGCCCGGCTAAGAGTGGACTTTTGAAAATAACCCAAACACTATGTTTGTGGTGAAATACTCATAGAAAAAAAAAACAAACAAACAAACTAAAGCTACAAGTATCAGATCATATGATTGTCACAAAACAAAAGCAAGTCAAACAATCATCATATTAATAGGGTAAAGTTTCAAGCAATTTGAAAAAATTATGATGCAATGTCTGTGTACTGTTCCCAGACATAGTATGATTGGGGGGGAGGGCAAGGCTGATAAACCCGGGCTAGAACAGCAATGGACTGAGTCGAACAAGGCTGGCCAGTGGGCATTATACTATATAATAATATGTTTCATTTCATATCTGTGTGGTTTGGGACTTTACACCTCAGTCTTCGTGGTGGATTCATGAAAGTAAATGGAACAGAAATGACTGTAGATCAGGAACTTAAGGCGGCAGAATAATTTTCTAAAAAGATGTATTTATCCTTACTTTCTGTGTACGAGATGTATGAGCCTCTGATTGCATCTAGGCAATGGATAGCCTAGAACTGGAATTACAGATGGCTGTGAGTCTCCATGCGAGTTCCAGGAACCAAAGCCTGGTCCTCTGAGAAAGCAATGTTCCTAACTGCTAAACTATCTCTCTTGTCCCCGTGATTTATTAAGGGCATATCTGCAGACTAAGCAATTCCTTATTTAGCCCAGATTTGCATGTAAATCCACGGCAGAAGTTTCCTTCAAGCCCAGCCTTAGCTGCTTGTCCCACCCACTCATACCTAGGTTTGGGAAGGCTCTTATTCAGAGGTTGAATTATATAAACAGCAGAATATTTGATCAAAAAGCACTGGTTTTGAAATGCCGGAAGTAGGGAGTAAAGGCATATTATCAAAGAATGACGTTGACGGATAAAAGTTAGGAGCAAAGGAGAGAGGCTCGGAGTCTTTGGTTAAATGGTGTCTGTCACCTTTTACTACTTAGATTTCCGTTCCGTGTAAACCCAATGTGTAATACGACTGCTCACTTCCGGCTCCCACAGACCGCTTTTCAAAACTGAGGCCCATTCAAAGTCAATCAGCATGCAACTTTGCCTTAGTTTTCATGCAAACTCCAATCTCTGCGCCCACAGTTCCGTGATTCTCTTTTAAATCGTGTTGGATTTAAATTAAAAGGAGATCGAGTTCTTACGTTTTAAATTTTGATAACTTTGAAACTCATTAACATCTAAATGCCATTTGTTGTTAAAAAGTAAAACCTTGTCTACTGCGAAGTGAAAGTCTACAGTCCAGGTCTTTCTCCCTCTGCTCTGGCTGGTGGAGCACCTTCACAGCAGCACTGAGGATGTCTTGGGAAAATCTTGTGTGCTCTAGTTACTACGGTACCGAAAAAGAGAAGAACCCTCCGACAGAACGCAGGAAAACTGGAAAAGCTGCTCTAGAAGTCCACGCATCCTGGGTGGGTTCCTGTCCTTGGCCCTGGTGTTGGAGCGGCTGCGCTGTTTCAGTGGGAACCGACCTGAAAGCTTCTAACGAAGGGCTGTAGCCTCCTGGCAGCCCGACGGCTACCAGGCTCCACAGGTCCCTTTAAGGCACCCTACGCGCGGAAAAAGGGGAGCGCAGGGGGCGGGAGCAGGGTTCGCGACTGCACGCCACGTGACTCAGCTGCAGACTCGGCCAGAGAGTTTGACAGAAGTTTGAATCGGACTCGGGGGCTTTCTGCTGCCGGCGGGGCAGTAAAGCGGACACAGCCTCCGAGAGCGCAAGCAGCAGCGCCCCCACAACCCAGCCCGCCAGCCAGCCTGGAGCCCGGCCTGCCCACGGTCGCGAGTCCGCCGTCCCCAACGCCCCCGCGCGCCCCGCAGCCTCCCGCCCAGGGAGCCGAAGCCCCGCATTGCGCCCCGCCGCGCCACCATGTCCTCGACGGAGAGCCCCAGCCGCACGTCGGACAAGTCTCCGCGCCCGCAGGTACGCCCCAAGCGCCCTGTCCGTGGACTCTCACCAGCCCCTGTCCACCTAGATGTCCTACCTGAGTCCGATTCCGCTACCCCCTCCCAGTGTGAGTAGTGAGGGACCCACGTCCCCCTATCCCGCTCTCTGCCCCCCCCACTCCGCCTTGACCGTCTGCTGGCTCTGTCTCTGCAGGTGGACCGCCTGCTCGTGGGGCTGCGCTGGCGGCGCCTGGAGGAGCCGCTGGGCTTCATCAAAGTTCTCCAGTGGGTGAGTTGCCCTAGCCCCAGGCTATTTCGGGAGCCTGGATTGTGACGCTGAGCCGAAGCAATGTGGCCCCGGAGGAGGCTGGGGAGATGCCCTGGGCCCAGCTACTGCGGAAGGGTGGGGGGTGGCGACAGGTGGGCGGGGGAGGGGAGGGCCAGGGCTGCTTCTCCAGCAGTCGGTGGAAGGAGGGAGAGGAGCCAGGTCTTCGGAGTCCCGGATTCGGACCTTCTATGTGCAAGCCGCCTTTGGCCACGGTGCTCACATTTCACTCGGGCGAGAGGACTCGGGTGTAACCTTTCCAGAACTCTGATCCTGCACATACCACGATTCAGTGGCGGGAGGGGTGAGGAGGACAAGGAGGGTAAAGGTCCGTTTTGCAGTGAGAGCAAAGCCACGGAGGGCACCGGAGGGAAGGAAGAGGGTTACAGAAGTCATTCTGCCCAGAATGCTTTAGGACCTGGATGATCCGAGGGGTGGACTCAGGAGACAGACTCTCAGCTGAGGTCACTGGAGTAATTCGGGTACCTGTAACCTAGTAAAGAAGGGGATGAATGAATGAACGGTTGGTTTCTCAGTCCTCCGATTAAATAAATAAAACAATTAAGATAGAAGAAAAATCACAGCGCGATTAAAATGTGGCAGGTGTAATATTAACACTGAGCAGGGAAGGTGAGGAGGTAGATTGCAGGTCTAGAGCTATCTTTCTCAGCTTTGTGACCTCGGGCAAGTCACTTTTCGGGCAAGCAGTTTCCAACATTAGTCACTAACTTGGATCAAACCCATCAGCATGCTTAGACTAGAGCTCGATATTAAAAATTACCATGTGTTCTTAAACTTACCTTTGCCCATGGCCTCAGTTTCCCCTGCTTTGGTCTAGTAGGAATAATGTCTTGTTTTTCACTGGTACGTTAAGACATTGGCAAGCCCTCTCTTCTTAGAGCCAGTGCCCAAGATGGTCATAAATTAGAAATGTGGACAAGTACTGTCAGTTTTTCAAACTATAAACACTTGAGAAACATTTTGTACATTCTTGCAGAAATGATTCTGTTAGACAACCCATGTACCAAATGCTATATCTAGATATATATATGGTTTTTCTAGACAGGGTTTCTCTGTGTAGCCTTGGCTGTCCTGGAACTCCCTCTGTAAACACACACACACACACAGAGGAGAGAGAGAGAGAGAGATCTGCCTGCCTCTGCTTCCCTAGTGCTGGGTTTAAAGGTGTGTGCCACCTCTGCCTGGCTTATATGAAGTTATTAATACACCCTCAACAGTGGACTTATCTAGGGCACAACTTCCCATTGATACGTGGGGGGAGTGAATTCTGAAGAGCTTTGCATTCACGGGAGAGAGGGATCAGCGTGATGTCACCAAATCCTACATAATCATGGTTGGGACGGGTATCGTGAAATTTGGAGTTCAGGAACAATAGCGCATTTGGGATTGTCTCTGGGTATCTGAGACCCTGACTGGCTGCAGACCAGCCTGGGAGTCCCAAGTGTAAATAAACTCTGGGACTTTCCACTTCCCTACTGCCTCAAGAGGGGGACCAATGTTGACTGAACTCTTTCACCTTCTGCCCCTTCTTGTTCTGACTTGAGCACCAGAGGGGATTGAGTAGGAAAAGGGAGGCTTCAAAGGAACTGGCATTGAGAAGTAAGGAGGCCTCCTGAGCAACCCGGAGGAATGGGATGTAAGTGCTATCCAAGCTAGACAAATGGTTCTAATAGAAGGTTGAGACAGACTGTGAAGGGGTGGAGACAACAAGGAATGACCATCGATTTGTTTTCTCCAGGAAGATTCTGGGGCTTCCTTCTTTAATCTTGCCATCTTTCTCACGGCCGCTTCCTGCAACATTCTGCACACAGCGATTCCTAGCACAATGGTTCAGTCTTCTAACCCTAAGTCTTAGGCTCTCAACCTTCCTAGCGCTGCAACCCCTTGCATACAGTTCCTCATGTTGTGGTGACCCCCAAACATAAAATTGTTTTGTTGATACTTCATAACTGCAGTTTTGCTGTAAATATCTGATATACGGGATATGTGACCCCCATGGGGGTCGTGACCCACAGGTGGGAACGACTACCCTCAGAATTAAGACCTGACTTTTATGATCTTCAGATTTACAGAGAAGGAGTTGTGCAAAACAGGGGCCATCTTCCTCTCATCCTGCTAAATCAGGTCTCTGGGGAAAGGCTTGGAACTAGCCTGCGTTTACAGGGTAGCATCATAAGGAGCCATGAGTTGCTTTCAGGGCTCTCCCAGGTAGCCTTAAACCCGGGATGTGGGTTTGGCTGGCTTGAATCTTTGCAGATGAACAGAAAAGCACACAGGAAGCAGCGTGAGAAATACTCTTCGCCAGAGGGAAAGGGAGCATACAGATCTTGTCCTTCTTACAATGGCAGTTGAAAACTTTTTATTCTTACCCACTGGCAAAAGTTCCACCTGTAAGAAGTTTACTTGTGCAACCCTTGTGAGAAGAGAGTGATGCAATTCTTTCCTGAGTCAGGACTTAGGGTGTCTTTAAGATCTGGAAATTACTCTGGCCGTACTCGCACATACCTTTAGTCCCAGCAATTAGGAGGCAGAGACGGGCAGATCTCATTCTGGTCTACCAAACCAAACCAAATAAACAAAGACTCAGAAATTAATCTCACCTCAGTTCCAATTTAAGAATCTTATCAGGTCTATATCAAGCCAGCCATATCCATCCATCCATCTTTTTTTTTTAAAGACAGGGTCTTTCTACATAGCTCTGGTTGTCCTGGAACTCACAGGACTAGGCTGTCCTCCAACACACAGAGAGATCTGCCTGCCTCTGCTCATGAATGCAGCCAAATAATGCTGAAGTAGGTTTTTGTTGTTCTTTTTTTTAACTTTTATACTACCATTATTGTGGGGTGCATTACATTATTATATGTGCATTATTGTGCACAAGTGCCTGGCCTGCCATTCATGTGGCGTTCAAAGAAACTTGTTTTCTCTTTTCATTTTTACATAAATTTTAAGGATGGAACGCCAGGTCACCGGGGTTACATGACAAGTGCCTTTGAGCTATTTCCCTGGCCCTAAAAACTAGCTTAAAAGAAAAGAAGGGGGGGGGGAAGAATAGTATTGGATGGACTTTGACTTAAATTCAGTGTCTTTTGATTCCCATCCCTCGAAACTTGGTTAATTAATTGGTGAAATCCCATCTGAGGCTAAACTGTATGATGTAGTGATGTGGGTTCACTGGGAGAACTATGTGAGGTAATGTCTACAGGGCATGGAACATTCTTGAAGATCACGGTGGGCAGATTCCATAAGTGTGTGTTCCCTCCCCTCCCACCTTCCCTAACTTTCTTCCTTCTGTAGACTGCCTCACTAGAGTCAACCTTTGGTGAGATTACTCAGTCACCATTGCCAACCCTTCCTTTTGAATGTGAGGTACAAAAGATTCCCGGTAACTCAGTCATATGGGATTCCATTTCCTTACAAATAATAGATCAAATTAATTTTATCCAAGTACTCCCTCCTGATGAGGACAGATGATTTTGGAGTTGGGGGGGTGGGCTTTGGAATCTATACTATGAAGAAGCTATTTCATTGGTGGAATTTGGTTTTTTATTTATTTGGTGTACTTTTTTTCTATTGGAGATTTTGAACGGACACTGTCAGAATCCGTAACACCAAGGAAAGGTTGTGAAGTAGGACTGGGGGGAAGAACCCGTGTTGTTGTACTTTGCATTCCCTGAGGGCTAGTGTTCTTTGGGTTGACATGGGATTATAACTAGTAAGCCAGTCAGCATCAGAGTGGAACCTACCCTTAAACTGGAAGGTCATTCTGTCTGTTCAAAGAAATGCAAAGATGGGGGAAGCAGAGGAGGAGGTAGAGGGCAAAGTACGACCCTCACCATTACCAGCATCAGAGTCCCAGACATTCCCTGCTCTCCACTATTCCATCTTCCTTCCTTATGATCAGTGTGTTATCTCGCAGCCCTGTGTGTGAGAGAGGCATGGTTTCAAGTTCTTCGCCTCTTGGTCCTGGGGCTTTGGTCCCTACCTGGTTACGGCAGGAAGCGATCTGGTACAGGGAAGTAGAAGGTTTGAAAGCTGTGGATGGGCTAGGCTGGTACCTCTGCTCCTGCAGCCCAGGGCAGAGCACCTGCCTTCCTCTTCCTGCCATGCACGGCACAGAAGAGACCTCCTTTTCAACTGCAGGAACTCTACGGTTCCAGGGTCTTACTCATCTTATCCCTGGCATCAGGGCACAAGGCAGATGCTTCGTTTCAAATGAAGGAATGAAGAGGAAGGAGCTCAGAACAGGGAGTCGGGAGCTGTGAACTGGAAACCCAGCTCACACATTAGCTAAATATGACCTTGAGAACACCACTTAATCAGAGTAAGGAGGACTTCTGTTCCCAGAAGTGAAAGGAGACCACTTGTCTAATAATGTCTGAGGTCTTTCTGGTCCCACTGCTCTGAGAACCTATGAGCTTCTCAGATTTTCCAGTTATTTACCAACTCTGCTAGCTGGCACCACACATTGTGGTGTTCTGGGTTTGGAGGTATGGGATTGTGGTAGAGTGCTTATCTAGCGTACTTATGGTCCAGGGTTCACCTCAGGACACCACAAAATGAATAAACAAAAGAACACTCTGACAAGTAAAAAAATATCTACTCTAGATAACATGTAGATATTCCTAACTTTCAGAAAATCAAAACAGAGAAGGATAAACAGTTAATAGCAAAGTGGTTATAAGTATATTTCACTTTTTGAAAATTCACAGCAGGGCTCGTAATTTTCAAACCTGAGCATCACCGTTCAGACTTAGACTTTTCATAGTGATGGACAGCTCTGTAATCTGTGCTGAGCAGTAGAGCAGTGGTTTGTCACACGTGACTTCTGAGCACATGCTCTGGGGCTGGTATCAGCGAGCAACCGAAGCTTAGCTTGGGCTTCATTTTATTTGAAGTAATTTAAATTGCCGTAGTTGGCTGGATGGTACCTGTTGAGCAGTATAAGACATGCGCTCCATAAAGACAGCATCCCTCTCCTCTTCCTCTCTGTCTCTCCGTCGCTCTCTTTCTCTCTTCCTCTCTGTCTCTGTCTTTGTCCCCCACCCACCGCTAAAGTGACTGGTACGGGTACATACTTGAGAAATGCCACCTTTTGGCAGATGTTCAAAGTGCCCAGGGAAGGAAAAGTTCCATACTTGGTGTTCGCTGCCCTGAGGTAGGAATCGCTACGTGCTTCCTTATACTCACTGGCTAACAGACAACGACTGGAAATACACCCAGCCTTGCTGCCCTTCCTCAAGTGTGACACCCTAATTGTGTCCTGTTCTAGGCACCAGAAACCAAGAGGAATAAGGACTTCAGTGAGGAGTCAAAGAGTCACAGAGTGGATGAAGATAGGAAAATCCCTCTGAGGAGGAGCTAGTGAAGGAATTGTTTGGCTTGAGAGCCAGCTTTGAGTGTGTGAAGGGTAACAATACAAAGGCATCTGGTGACTTTTCTCTGTCCCTGGCTCTGCCAGAAGATGAGCCAGCAGTCCAATGCTGCTGCTCTCGGAGCTTAGCTCAGATGTGGAAGCTATGCAGGCACTGCAGGCCAGTTCCACTGTCTGCCTTCCTGGGTCTCGTTACCTATACAGAGATTCTCACTCCTTTGGAACAAGTCTACTGAAGACAGGGGCACACATGACCTTTAGAGAACGGTCAGTGGCTCCAGCATTGAGCTCTGCCAGGCCAGGCCATGCAAGGCACGGCGGTAGCACTGGATACCGCCCAGGGGCAGAGCACAGCTGTTGGTAAACCCGGCCAAGGGCATGCTCTGCTCAGAGCATTAGCTACAGAGGGTGGAAGAATTCCAGAGCTGGAAGCAGCCTTTAAATAAACCCCAAGTCCTTATTCTAAAAATGAAGAAACCAGGACTCAGAGAGCCAAGCCACCTAGTGAATGAATTACAGGGCCGAGACCAGAACCTGGGTTTCCTGATTCCTAATCCATGTCTCTTTTCGTTTTGATCAGTATTAGAATAATAATGCATGGGCTGGAGAGATGGCTCAACGGTTAAGAGCACTGCCTGCTCTTCCAAAGGTCCTGAGTTCAATTCCCAGCAACCACATGGTGACTCACAACCATCTGTAATGAGACCTGGTATACATGCAAGCAGAACGCTGTACACATAATTAACAAATAAATCATTTATTTATTTATTGGTTTTTGGGGGACAGGGTTTCTTTGCAGCTTTGGAGCCTGGCGTGGAACTAACTCTTGTAGACCAGGATGACCTTGAACTCACAGAGATCTGCCTGCCTCTGCCTCCCGAGTGCTGGGATTAAAGGCGTGCGCCACCACTGCCTGGCCAAATAAATCTTTTTTTTAAAGAATTTTATTTTATTTACTTTACTTTATTTTTTATGTGCATTGGCGTGAAGGTGTCAGATCCCCTGAAACTTTTTACAGACAGTTGTGAGCTGCCATATGGGTACTGGGACTTGAACCCGGATCCTCTGGAAGAGCAGTCAGTGCTCTTAACCACCAAGTCATCTCTCCAGCCCTCCAAATAAATCTTTTAAAAGGAAAAGAAAAGAAAAGAAAAATAATGCACAACTCTATTCCTGAGCGGATGCAGGCCTGGAAGATAGATTACTGTCTTCTTCTTGCTTAATGTCCAGAACACTGACTGAGTGACAGAGAAGCAGATAAAAGAACACTAGTGTCATGCCAAAGGTAGGTGCACAGGAAATGGGCTGAACACAATACGGGAGAACAAGAGATTACAGTTTCTTACTTTATAATCTAATCAATGTGGTTAGAAGGAAACGTGAGACTCACAGGACGGGGACAATTCATATCCCTCAAGACAGAAGATGCAGTCAGCTGGGCTGAGAGGTGCAGCGAATAATCCAGTGGTCTGAACGGAACACTCCACTTCTTCCCACTGGAGAATAGCAGCACAGGCAGATTACAGAGAGGATAGCCGAGGGAAACAGAGGCCGATAAGGAAAGTAGAGGGTGCTTTCCCCTGGGCGTGAGCCAGGCCTGTCAACATTTGCCCAGCCGGCGCTGCTGCTGGAAAGGGCTGTGCTCTCGGGGAAGAAAAGTCAGGCTGGCAGTGCCGCAGAACAGCTTCGTAGAAGCCTCCCCCATCGTCCCGCCGACGAGGCAAGAAGCTACTGGAGCTTAGAAATAAAGTAAGTGCCAGAGTCCATGCCTGGTCAAGGAGGAATGAAAATGAAATCAAATGGAAAACGTTCCAGGCAGGCCTGATCTGGCTGGATCTATTTCTGATCTCTTGTTTGGAGGGGGGAGGGAGGGGAGTCTAGCTTTGAAACAGACATTCCCAAAGCCAGAGTTACAGAGGTTGGAGAAATGGCTCAGATGTTAAGAGCACTGGTTGTTCTTAGAGAGATCCTGAGTTTAATTCTCAGCAACCACATTGTGACTCACAACCATCTGTAATGAGACCTGGCGCCCTCTTCTGGCCTGCAAGCTTGCAAGCCTACTATTCACTGTATACATAATAAATAAATAAATAAATAAATACAAGCCAAACCAAAAACAAGCAAGCAAACAAACAAAAAACGGAATTACAGAGGTTTTGTGTTAGTCATTATCTTACAGAAGCTATGTGTGGTCTCAAGTGCCAAGCCCAATAGAGAGTTCTGGAAACTGTTTCCTCTCACTTCCTCTCCCTTGAGACCACACTCAAAGTTGCCCATCTTCATTGAGTTACTTGGTCCAACGCTTTGTTCAGAGAATATAATATTTAGAATGGCAGCTGAGGGTCCCTACCAGGAGAAACTTGGTAAAAGGAATCCTGACTCCCTACCCACCAAGCACCTGCATCCTCTGGAGTCGAAGGGTGGCTCTTTACCTTGGACAGGTGAGATCTTCCAACTCTCACAGGGGCTTCACTTTCTCTCAGCTCTTTGCTATTTTCGCCTTCGGGTCCTGCGGCTCTTACAGCGGGGAGACAGGAGCCATGGTTCGCTGCAACAACGAAGCCAAGGATGTGAGCTCCATCATTGTTTTGTTCGGCTATCCCTTCAGGTGAGTAGGGCTTGGCTGTGGTCTTATGCCCTCCTCTCGCTGGGTTAGCAGGGCTTCCTTCCTCCTCTGCTCCTACCAACCTCTCCTCATTTCTTCCTGCTCACAGGACATGCAATCTAAAGACCATTTGCTGTGTGCCGCTCTAGATCAAAATACAACAAGACCTGGCTCATTCTTTTAGCCATTTCAGACACTGACCAGAGTGAAACACTATATCATTGTTACAATGTTCCGGTCCAAACTCCAGCAATGGCAGCTCACCACAGCTCAGAGAGAAACCAGCTGTTGGGGTGGGGAGCCGGGGACACTATGGGTCTGGGCCAGTGACAACTCTCTCTGCCCCTCTGCAGATTCCTCAGCACCTTGAAGGAAGGAAGCTTGTTAGAGTTTAGATGTTAAACAATAGATGTGAAATGCTCACCCGATGTCACCCAAACACAAGGAGGTGCATTTTTTTTTCGTTTTTTTTGAGACAGCTTTGGAGCCTGTCCTGGAACTAGCTCTTGTAGACCAGGCTGGCCTTGAACTCATAGAAATCTGCCTGCCTCTGCCTCCCATGCTGGGATTAAAGGTGTGCACCACCACTGCCTGGCAAGGAGGTACATCTTCACCAAGAAGTAGAAGAGGACACTCACCCCTGAGGATTTGGGAGCCTGAGGAGTGGGGAAATGTCTGTTCAGAAGGGAGTGGAGGCAGAGCTCATCTTTTCCGGATATCTGAAACCATTTCAGCCTCCAGTTTAGACTAAGTATCTCTTCTACACAACAAGCTGTATTTCCCATTCTGTTCGTTGTACCAAATCAGGGAGGGCTAAATCAAATCTGAGAATGGGAATTCAAACCTTAATGTGACCACCGTTTAATACGGGCTTGTGTGTTTCTAAGGGCAGAATGAATCTGATTTGTCTAGTGGTTTGACTATCAGAAATAGTTGGGCTGTCTATATATGTTAGTGACTTAAAGGCCCCTCAAGATATATAGAGATTCAGGATGACCATTTCTGGCCAGATGGATGGGTATGGTGTGGATACTGATGGAGCTTGGAGGGAATCTTAGATGAGGGCTGTAGCTTAGTGCTAAAGTCCTTGCCTAGCACGTGAAACCCCATGTTCAAACCCCAGTACTACCAGAGGAGAAATGAGTAGAATCTTGAGGTAGCTCCTGTCTTGACTGCAAGATTTCCTCAGTTCTTACCTACATGACTCCTTTCCCAGGGTGAGAGCCAACACAGGGGCCCTTCTTGGGCAGGGCGAGAGGGGCTTGCCCTGGCTCAGCATGGCTCCCATTGCCACCTGCAGGTTGCACCGGGTCCAGTATGAGATGCCCCTCTGTGACGAAGACTCCACCTCCAAAACCATGCACCTCATGGGAGACTTCTCTGCCCCCGCCGAGTTCTTTGTGACCCTTGGCATCTTTTCCTTCTTCTATACAATGGCTGCCCTGGTCCTCTACCTGCGCTTCCACAACCTCTACACAGAGAACAAACGCTTCCCCCTGGTGGTGAGTGAGTACAGCCCAGAGGATGGGACCAAGAAATGGAAGAGCTCTTTGTTAGAAGGCTGAAGTCAAGAGCCAGAGGGGAGGTCAAAAGTGATGTCTTCTCCGAGTCCTTGATACCTGTGTGTGGAATGGACCTCTGCCCTACCAACCTCGCTTGGTTTGTTTGCAGCCAGAGGAGGCAGGATCTAGAGCTAACCTAACTGGGTTCAAATCCTAGTGCTTGCTCGTAGTAGCTGTGTGACATTAGACAAGTTACTCAGCCTCTCTCTACATGAATTTCCTTGGCTCTAAAATAAAGGTGAAGCCATGGGCAAGTGTTTTAGGGGGATAAAATGAGCATTCACGTATTGCATCTAGCATGCAGTTATTCTCAATGAGAGCTTTCTATTATTAGTAGTATTTCCTTCCTCTATATTTCAGACATTCAAGATGGGAAGTAGGCTTTAGAGACCTCAGTTGTCTTCTGAATCTGCCTTCTTCGTTACTCATAATTTGAATAGTGGTGTCCAAAGGGAAGTAGAGAGGAAAGAGTAGGGAATTTAAGTCACTTGGCTTGCAAGGAGGGAGGGTTATCAGCTGTTGCCTTGGCAGCTCCTCGCCTGACCTTAATTCTAAGGGCAGGGGCATGGCAGTCTGAATGGCAGCATTCCTTTGGTGGCATTGAATAGAGGCCTGTAGGATGGGAAGGGACATCTGTCTTGGGACCTCAGGATTCTAGTGTGACAAGAGGGTCATTCTGAGCATGTCTTTTTCCCTCCGCTCTTCCTAGGACTTCTGTGTGACTGTCTCCTTCACCTTCTTCTGGCTGGTTGCCGCAGCTGCCTGGGGCAAGGGCTTAACTGATGTCAAAGGGGCCACGCGGCCATCCAGTCTGACCGCAGCCATGTCCGTGTGTCATGGAGAGGATGCAGTGTGCAGTGCCGGCGCCACACCCTCGATGGGGCTAGCTAACATCTCTGTGGTGAGACCCATGTCTGGGAAAGGCGTGCTAGCCCAGATGTCCCAGCTAGCTGGTTCTGAGACGAATAGAGAAGGTGTCCCCAGAGCCAACAGGCTGTGCAACTAGACTAGTAACCCCTGCATCTGATATTGGCCTGAGAAGATATTTTTGGATGAGGAGAATCTGAGTCACTCCTTTGCCACTCTTAGCTGCCCCAGAGGTTACCCCTTTTTGCCTGTTTGGCCACGTGTCTCGTGAGAGCATGCGCAGAGGGAGTTTAGGGCCATGATGGGGCTCAGAGCTGTGAGTGGACCAGTGTGAGAGAGAAACTGCCCCCTTGTCACTTAGTGGGTGTGGGGGGCAATGGTGGGTTCCGCTGGCAGGAGATCCAAGCTATTATGGTGTTGAGAGACAGCCATGTAAGCAGGTAAACACCTACCTGCAGCACTGATCTGCTAAAAATGCCCCTTGTCACCTCAGCCATCCCATACCCCCCTCAGAAATTACCCCAGACCTCCCCAAGGCCCACAGCTGAAATGTTTCACCACCAGTGCACCAGGGAGCCTTCTGAAACCACACACATAGGTTTCTCTTCCAGTTTCTAATTGTAAACATTTTCACATACCCACCCAGCAAAACTGATTTTTTTTTTTTTACAGGGATGGCCTACATAGTCACCACCTAAATGGTGACATTTCGTTGTACCCGTTTTCTATGTATTTATCCATTTTTCCTTATCTACTATTTTTGTTTTGATTTTTGAGACAGGGTCTTGCTCTATAACCCGAGTTGTCCTTGAACACATATAGCCCAAGCTGCCTTTGAATTTGTGATCCTCTTGCCTCAACTTTCTAAGTACCAGGATTCCTGATTCGTGCCACTACACTCAGCTTTTCTTTTCATTTGTGTTTCAAGATACTCTCTGTTGGGTGACTCAGACTGGTCCAAATTCACAATCTTTCCTCCTGAATTGCCTAAGTTCTGGGGTTGCACTGGTGTAAGCCACCATGCATGGATTATTGATCTTATTATTACTATTTTGGGAAAGAGTCTTACTATACAGCTGCGGCTGGCCCAGAACTCGCTATGTAGAACAGATGGGTATCCAACTAATAGGGATCCACATGCCTCTGCCTCCCAAGTACTAGGACTGAAGGTGTGTGCCACCATGGCTAACTCGACCCATGTTTGACAATGCTTTTCAAAGTGAATTGCGAACATCAGTTCTTTTGTCCCTAACTACTCTTTTGTTATGTTTTTGTTTTTGTGTTTTGAGACAGGGTCTCTCAGTGTAACATTGGCTGTCCTGGTATTGTCTTATACCAGGTTGGCCTCAAAATCACAGAGACCCACCCGTCTCTACCTCCGGAGTACTGGGATTAAAGGCGTGCTATGTTGTCAGTTTTTCAAAACATTTAAAATATTTGAATAGATCTGGTGTGGTGGCACACACCTGTAGTACCAACAGCCTATCAGGCAGAGGCAGGAGGCTTCCAGGTTCTAGAACAGGCTGGGTACACAGAAAAAGCAAACAACAGCAACAGCAAGAACAACAGATGTTTGAACAAAGCCTTCTCCGAGTCTCTAGCCCTAGAGGAGTACCTTGGACAGCTCCAGGCTCATTCACCTCAAGCAGGCTGCCACGTGTTCCTTGATTTACTTAGCATTCCTAGGGCCAGATTCAGCTAGGACCAAGCTACACTGCGCATGAGCACTCTGGGTACAAATTTGCCGCTTTCGCTGGAGAATGGCCTTGAACCCTGCCTCTACACCTGGTTCTCTGTGCTCTTCCTATTCCCATTTCTCCTGCGGCTCCTCCTTGACTGTTCTCACAAACGCTCCTGATTTCTTTTGTAGCTCTTCGGCTTTATCAACTTCTTCCTGTGGGCTGGAAACTGTTGGTTTGTGTTCAAAGAGACACCGTGGTACGGACAGGGCCAGGACCAGGGCCAGGGCCCCAGCCAGGAGAGTGCCGCAGAACAGGGGGCAGTGGAGAAGCAGTAAGCAGCTGGCTACTCCCGAACTGGACAGCACCTCTTCATCTCCTCCGGCTTCCACAGGACCTTCCTCCTCCTCCAACTCCCTTCCCCCGTCCTTCTGGGCTTTGAGATTTGAGACAATGGATGGGTAGGTAGGCATCAGCTATTGGTTACCTGGGCAGCCCTCCACTGGCTCCCTCATCCCACATCCTGCTGGAGCTGCACATGGCAGGAACTCGGTACTTCTTGTCTACCTGCCTGGACTCAGGTATCCTACTGGGCTTTAGTTTGTGCCCTCAAGCCTCCGAGAGAGAGCCTGTGCTTGCTGCAGGTGAGGGCAAGAAACTAGAGTCTTGATACTGGTCTCTAAAAGCTGCTCTCTGTTATCCTTTGTCCAGTCTCAGTGCAGTGAGGAGGGGGGAAGTCAACTGGCAGCCTTACCCTGATTCCTGTCTGGAGAGCCCAGCAGTGGTTTGATGACATCTCTCCAATGCTGTCATCTAGTCTCTGTATCTTATCTCTAGCCCTGCCCCACCAGTCCCATGTGCTCCCCAGTCTCCTCTCTGACCTCTCTTTGTCCATAGCTCCCACCATGTGTGAAACAGGGAGACCCATTACCCTATCCAAGGGCCCTCTAAGGGTCCACACGAGGCCTTGACTCAATGGGAGCAGACAGAGTTGCCCTTGTACCGCAGCTTCGAGGAAGAAAGCCAGGGAAGTTGCTGACGGAATACATTTTCTGTCCCCTCTGTTCTCCCTCAGCTGGAACACTGTCATCAGCTCCCCAGACTCCACTTACTCATGGAACCCCTAACTTCCTCGTCCTTTGTGGGCTTGGTTTTGTCTCACCCTTAGGAAACAAGATGAGAAGGCTAGGAATATTTCCACTTCCTTCTCCCACCCCACCCCACCTGTCAGTCCATCCCCCTTCCCTAACCTTTTGGAGATAAGGCATTTAAGATCCTTTTCTTTTGTGGCAAGTCTGTCTAGGCCTTCGTTTCATTCCTGTGGGCTGTGGGCGGGCCGAAAGGACCACCATGAGGCTGAGGTGCCCAGCAGTCCCAGGACATGGATAGATAGGCTTGCTTGTCCCTTACTGTCTGCTCATCTTCTCAAACCAGCACCTTTTCTAGGCCTTTTATACCTCTCCTTCCTCACCTTTGCACAGAGGTGTTCTATCTCCTCATCTCTCGAAGTCCTCCCTCACTTCCATATGGTAGCGGACTCTACCCCTTCCCCAGTCCCGGGCAGCCCGATGCTATTGGTGCTTCTTCACTTCGGGACCCAGTTCCATATTTGTCTTTGGTGTGTCTCCCTTTCCTGACACTCCCATCCCTCCTCAGGCCCCAAGGTCTGAGAGTACCAATTGAAGAAATACCATCTGCCCCCTACCCAGGTCAAAACCCCTTGGTCTACCCTGGCAGTAGGGCTGCTCAGGGAAAGATGAAGAAGGAAGAATCCAGCCATTTACCAATTTAATGCCAATTGATCCACCTAGTATACTAAAAATGAATGTGTTCTGTGCTAACCTGTTCTCAAGACAGGGTCAACCCTCTCCAACCTCCTCACCTTCCCCAATGCTTCCCCACATTAGGCTGTGTATTACTTGGGTCCCTAGGGCTTAGAACCTTAAACTTTGGGCCATCCATTTCTTCTTTGGGTTATAATCCCCCACTTGATGGGGGAGAGAGGTAATGATATTTACACACATCTAGATGTTTCTAAGCCTTTCAGTAAAAGAATTTTGAATTTTTGTCTTTGGTTTTAGATTTTACAGAAAGAGTTTAAGGAGGGAAAAAGTTGATGCGGGTGAGAATGTTTCTAAATCTTAAACTCTCTATCGTAAGTTGTTCCCATGGTTAACTAAGGACAAAGGGGACAGTTTTGCCTATAGCTCTAGAGATACAAAGAACAAAGGGGTGACCTTTATTTTTCTTCAAGCAAGTCCCTGTGGGGATGCGTGAGCAGCTTCTACTCAAACTGTGTTTGGGTTCTGTGTCTATATTTATAATTTATTTGAAATGTGATAGATAAAGTGTCCTCAATGGGGCCTTAGGTTAGCAACTGACCTATCAGCTGCTCTAGAACGGGAGCTGTCCACGCCCACTGAGCCCTCTCAGCCCAGAGTTCTCTCTAGGGCTGAGAAGGCTCTTCCTCACCAAGAGCCTGGCTGGTTCTTGGCCACCCTAAGAGGGAAGACCAGTTCAACTTACTACCTCTAGGGGGCGGAACAGGGGTAAGTGCCAAGGGTAAGGCTGTCCTCTTCAACCAGAGCTGGCATCTCCTCTTTGCCTAGTCAGGCCTGAAGTAGGAGAGGGTGTCTGGTTTCTCTAGCTGTTGCAGGAGGCCAGCAAGCAGGGCACTTGCCCTTTGCCCTGGTAGACTCTGACCATGTGGAGGTGCCCAGCCAGGCCCTTTCTTAGACATGAGTTCCCTTCAACATCTTGACCATGGGTCTCCTAATGCTGCGACTGCAGATCAAGTATGGGGGGGGAGAATGTTGCATGTTGTTTTCTGGTGCTTGTTATTACACATTTGAATAAACAGTCCTGCGAACATTTGCCACTAAGAAGCCAAGACAGGGGGCTCTCTGGGAATTTCTTTCCTGTCCTCTCTCCTCGTTCTGTGTTCTTGGGCGAGTATCAGCATCTCTACCAAGACATCACGCGACTCTTCTCTACTCCGCACCCCAGGCGATAGTCTGCTGGCTGAACAATTGTTCTTGGCAAGGCCCAGTCTGGTGACATCGACTCTTTTGGTGGCACCCAATTAGTCCAAAGAAACTGAGACTCATTAGCAAATTTGGATCAAACTCGAAAGGTAAAAGATAGTGGCTTCCACAGTGCCGTCTCCATTTGCTCTCCTACCATCTGTGACCCAAAGGAGGAGTCGGGGGCCATATGCTCCCCTCTCTACTATGAGGTTCACACGGCACAAGCTCGCACCTCCATCTCCCTCAGATAGACAGCCGTGTGCTACATTTACATTCCCTAGAGAAATGTGCTTGGACGCAGTTTTACATTTAATCTCATCAGATCCCTGGGTCTCTGAAGGATCACCTATGGGTGAGCCTTTGCTTTACAACTTCTGCCCTCAGATATTATTCTTTATAGAGTTAGCTGTTCTTCTACAGAAAGCAGAAAGTCTGTGGTCTTAAAGTCACAGACCTGGACTTATTTGCTTCCAAACTTGCAAAATAAGTCAAAGAAATTTTAGGCAAAGGGATGCAATATGGCGTGAGGTATTGAAGGAAAAAGAGGATTAATATTTTATTTCCAATGAGAATGGGGAGGGATGTGGAGGCAGACTTTTGTCTTATGGGAGGGAAGAAATATTGTCAGCTGAGAAGGTGGGTGATTAAAGTACTTTATGGGTCTTAGAAGGAAAAAAAAAGACATGATGAAAAACCTCCCTATGCCAAGGCTTCAGTAACAGCTTTTCCAGCGGTGAAAATATTCATTAGAAAAAGAAGCCGAAATGATAGATGGAATCAGGGTCCAGCCAGGATTTGGGAAGAGGTGACGCAGGTTATCGATCGGAGTTCCCAGGAGAGAGATGGATCAGCAAAGACACTGAAAACACCAGAAGCCTCGGGGCCACCCCAGTTCCGGGGCTGGTTCTGGCTCCAAGATAGCCTTCTGTCATACTGACAGGTGATCTTGGCGAGCTCAGCCAAGTCCTCCCAAACCCAGACAACAGCATTCCAACCCTCCGTTCTGCATCAAGTCAGCGTGGGTTTCCCACAGAGGAACAGCACAGGAGCTGGTGCCCTCCCCCTACTCCAACCCCTGTGTCCTTCAGCACGTCCTGCAGACTCCCTCCCCTTGCCCTTCCGATTCACTGAGCCCACCTCCCTGCACCTACCCCATTCGATCTACAGGGGAGCAGAGTCGCTTCGTGGCCGCTAGCCCAGGAAGGGGCGCCAGCCAGCTGGCGGATGCACGGCTTTAGAGGGGTATCTCGGGCAGAGAGAGGTTTGGGGTGTGCGTAGTAAGCTTGGGAGAGTGAACTGGTGGCGCAAAGAACGTGTACAGAGGGGTTGGAAGAGGGTATCCCGAGGTTCTGATCTCTCCATCCCTGCGCGTGCGATTGTGCTTTTTGGAAGGGATCCCTCGGCTAGCTCCGTAGGCATCACCACCCCTCCGCAACTACACTTCCCAGAAAGCTATGCGGGAGTGAGGAGGTGGTGGCAGGAGACCCGAACTGCGCTTGCGCAAAGAGTGAACTGGCAAGGTAGGGGGAGAGGGAGGCGTGCCCCCGGTCGGGGGAGGGTGGGGGAGGGGGCCGCGCGGCGGCGGCGCCGGGGCGGGCGCGCGTCCGCGGCGGTGATGGCGGTGCGTGAACGCGCGGTGGCAGCAATGGCCGCTCTGGAGCGGCGAGTGCCGAGTCTCGATGACTTCGCGGGACAGAGCTGGAGCTCGTGGGTGGAACGGGCCGACCTGCATGCGGCAGATGGTGAGTGCAGCCACACTAGAGTCCGGGGACCCCATCACTACCTCCCCTCCCCCCTTTAGGGCCCCCTCCAGCTGAGGGGAGCCGCCGACTGGAGCCGCCGTCCGGCTCCCCGGCCCCCCAAACAAAGGACCCGCCGGGTCCTAGTGCCCGCCTGCTCCGACACCTTCGCGCCTCCGGGTCCTAGCGCCGGCTCATCGCTTGCTGCCCACCCTGCCCACCTCTATCTCTGCGGGTGCACAGTACCTGCCCCCACTTTACTTGCCTTTATCTTTCGTCTTGTGCGCTGGCCTCCAGCTCCCATCCGTCCTGCACCTGCTTTGGCTCTACCCATCTGCAACAGTCCTCTCCACGTGTTTCCCACGCACCCCACTTCTGTGCCCCCCCTCCCCACCCCCTTGATCCTTAGCCTTTTGCCCCGCACCTTAGCTTTTTACCACGTTTCCCAGCCTGGTGCAGTATTTGTGAGCTCCCGCCCCCCCCCCCCCCCGCTTTAGTCCATCCATCCTCCATCCATCCATCCATCCATCCATCATCCTCCCTACCTCCCTCCAGTTCATCCATCCATGCCTTCAAGCCTCCATCCTTTCCAGGGCCTCTTGCCCTGCCCTTTGGCTCTCTCCCTTAACCCCTATTTTCTGTAGGCCCTTTGAGTGCCTTTGGTGAACAGGCCTGCAGCCCCTTCTGATCTTTGTCTCCTGAGCCCCAGGGAGCACCTGGCCTCGTGGCCTTTGGGGTGACAACAAGCATCACACCCCTGAAGAAGTTTGCAAGTGAGAAGAGGTGGAGGAGGAGATGGCTGTAATGACACTTGTTCTCTTTTGAGACAACTGACTTCCAGCTCTGTTCCCTCATTCTCCACACTTGGATTTAGGGGACTTAGAGGAGTAGGAGCTGCCCTTATCTTTTGCATGCCTAACCCACTACCACTCGTGTCTGGTTGTTACTATTGCCAATAACCATCTCATCCCAGAAAGGGGCAACTCCTTAGTGAGCATTAGAGAACCAACCTAGAAGGGAGTCCAGGCCACCCTTGGACAGCCCCATGCTGAGTGGGCTAAGATGGGGCCCTTGTCAGGGTCTAGGTGCACTGAGAACCGGAAGTGGAGTCAAATGGATTTGGTGACTCAGAATTGATCCCCCCCCCCCTCCAAGGGACAGGGAGGGGGCTTAGAGGAGGGGGGGTGAGGAGTGAGGTAGGGGGATGGGGAAAGAGCTGCTTTACACAGCTAAGATGTTTTTGTCATTAACCCAGAAACTGAGGTACAAGGGCAACCTCTGGACAAAGCCCCCCTAAGAAGGGGAGGGGCTTGCGTAGCTGATCAAGGAGACTTTGAAGATGCCAAAGGGTCCAAAGGCAGCAGTTTCTCTATTCTATGGCCATCCTATCAGTGCAGGACCTGAGAAGCTGAGTGTAACTTTGATGATACTATGGTAACTTGGGTGGAGCAAACTGAGTTTATGGGGGTGGGGATCTGGGAGGGTACTTGTCTGGGATGCCACAGAGTAGCAAAAAGGACCCATGTAAGCAGTCTCAAAAAGGGACTCAGGGACGTGTAGAAAAATCTTAGAACCATTTCCCTTTTAAATGGGGAAGCAAGACCCAGAAAAGAGGCATTTTACCCAGAGTTACCCACCTAGTCAGCAGTGGAGCCCTGTACCGTACCTGGGAGTGAAGGGTCTTTATCCTTCTTAATGGGGTCGTCTCATCTCAGAGGGGCACATGAAGGAAAAATGGGTACTTGTGAATGACCCATTGACAGTTTCTCCAGGAACTCTGAGTGCTTGTCAGGGAGTGTGGGCTTCGTACCACTGGGCTACAGGCTCTGCTGGGTGCTGGGAAGGGAATGGGCCTTCTGAGCTGTGCTTCTCCTCCAGGGGCTGAGCTGGAGGAGAGTAGCAAAAACATGAAGAAGTTGGACGCCATGACCCTCATTAAAGAAGGTACGAGTCAACACACATCGGATTGGGACTCGGGGAAACTGGGCCACCTTTTCCCTTTCACTGGGGGAGGTAGCTTGAAGCAGCAAGGCTGCCGGGGAAGCCTCATTTGGATAGGTCTGAGTCGGCCAGTCAGTTGTCCCCGCTCCAGTGACCTGTTGTTGGAGACCCTAATCATAGGTGGTTGGTGACCACGTACATGAAGTCCCATGCATCTGGGGTCTGGTTAGATGGGCCTGCGGAAGCTGGGAGCATCCAGCAGAAAAGCCTGTCGTGTGTCAGCAGGAAGGCAGGAGTGCCTTCCGAGCGGTGGGATGAGCGTGCTCTTTGATCTGGAGAAATCCTGAGTCCTTAACCCCAGTGATCAAGGCTTCTGTCACTGCAGACATGTCCATCTTCGGGCACTGCCCTGCCCATGACGACTTCTATTTGGTTGTGTGTAACCACTGCAGCCAGGTGGTGAAGCCTCAAGCCTTCCAGAAGCATTGCGGTGAGGGGCGCTCCAGGGAGGTGATGAGGGGACAGGAAGGTGGCACAGGGAACTCCTAGGACAGTGTCAGTTGGGAGGCCATGTGGGGTAAAGGAAAGTGGTGCTGGGGGCGGCTTGAGGGTTGTAGGTGTCGGGATTATTCTTTGGATAAGCTTGTACCATCCAGTACAATTCAAAGGTTCAAGAAGTTTGCTCTAGAAGTTTGAGTCTTGAAGGCTCATTTTTGAATGGGAAGGAGACCGATGCACAGCCCAAGCTCTAGCAGTTTGGGCTCTGTAAAAGAATTGGTGGACTGATTAGGACATCAGGGGAGGAAGCAGTCAATACCACTCACTTCAGTTGCTCTCTCCACCTCCTGGTGACAGAAAGAAGACATGGGCCCCTCAGCAAGCTTTATGCCCGGGCCCCACCCCCACCTCCAGCCCCTGCCAGCTCTCAGAAATGCCATGTAGTGAATGGGCAGGGCCCAGCTTGTAGAGCCCCAGGTTCTACCAAAACCTCCTCCAGGGAGAAGGGCCAGGGGTCCCGGAGCCGTGGCCATCAGCCTCCTGAGAAGACCCAGAAGGACAACCTCTGGTAAGAGGCTAGAAACCCCCAGAGACTAGCCCTGACCCTGATCCTGACCCAGGGAAGGGTTGACACTTAGCCCTGGGTTGCAGGATACTGCTCACAGCAAGAAATAGCTAACCCAACTGCAGTTCCTTTCCATATATTCCAGGGAACATGGGCTCCCCATTTTTCCACGCCTCTCTTGGAGCCCACCCAAGTTCCAGAGCTAGGGAGGAGATGGCTCTGGGCTAGAGTCCAGACCCCAGTCCCAGCCTCCCCACCTCCCAGCCCATACCCTCTCTCCACGTGTAGCCTTTTCGTGCCTGTGGTGAATCTGGAGAAGATGTCCAGTCTCCCGAAGCCTGATGGACAAGGAGTCAGGGTGGCTCCACCCTCTGCTTTCCTCAGTCAGCCAGGAGGCCTCCCCAAGGACTCCCCTGGAAAAGTCCCCACGGCCCCCTCTCCTAAAGATCCTCCTGGCAGAGAGAACATCGAGTTAATCCCTGGTGAGGGCTCCAATCACCGGGCCGAAGGCAGCCCCCCGGAGAAGGAGCCCAGTGGAGCCAGGCTGCCTCCTAAAACCCACCGAAAGATGGCTCGTGAGTAGTTATAGACATGAACTCAGGCGGAGTGGAGACTTCACTGGGCTTCTTTGTTCTTGGGCCAGAAAGGTTTGAGGTCAGGAAGGAGTGGACCTGGCTAGGTCTGGCCATTACAGCTTGCAGGGTACAGAAACCCCATTGCCTCCTGCCCTGCTTGTTCCCAGGAGGCTTTGCTGCTCCAGGTGTCTGAGCTAGCCTGAGAGGCCCTGTACCCAAGTCAGCAAAGTCATTCGTTCTCACCTTGGGCTGTTGACCATTCTCTCCTTTCTCACATCCCATAGCTGGTTTTCCTGGCATCTCAGATGCCTGTGGCTGCTTTTGCTTCTTGGTATGGGCTGCCCTGCTTTGGGCTACTAGTCTTCTAAGAGTGCCTGGGCCAGGGATGGGGCTGAGGTAGTTTATACCCAGCAGGTAGCAAGACCTGAGGGTGAGGCTCTTCGACCTTAGTCCTGCTGTTTCTTGGGCCCTTTGCAGGAAGTAACCAGATTCTTCCTTGGACTGAAAAAAAAAAAAAAAAAAAAAAAAAAAAAAAGGACCTGAGATTCATTGGAACCTCTTTCCCCACAGGTAAAGAGTTTGACCTCAACAGGCAGTGTGGGGTCATAAATCCAGAGACCAAGAAGATCTGTACGCGACTGTTGACCTGCAAGGTAACCCCATCCCTCTGCATGGTGATGGGGGAGTCAGCATGACACGGAATCTTGGAAAGGAGCATTCAGAGGTTATTAGAAACTCAGTTCAAGGAATGGGACTAGGCATACACCAGGGAAGGGGATAAGAGGCTACCCATGGTGTACACAAGGTAGGCTCAGTGGATAGGGAGTACCTTCAGATCTCCTTACCCATCTGAGAGTTTCAGCCCCATGAGAGAGTAAAATGGACACACAAACACCCCCACCCATAACACGCACACTCTCTCTGGGTCAAAGGCCGATACCCCTCAGTCCTGCTAAGATTACACCTCCCTACCGCTCACTCTGCCCTGTTCTAGATCCACTCAGTGCACCAACGCAGGGAGGTCCCAGGCAGGACCAAGGACTTTGATGTGCTCGTGGCTGAACTGAAAGCCAACTCTCGCAAAGGAGAATCTCCCAAGGAAAAGAGCCCGGGACGAAAAGAACCGACTCTCGAGCGCCCCTCCCAGGAGCTTCCCTCCGCCATCCAGGGTGCAGCGGTAGCAGCTGCCCCCATCAGCACCTCTGCTCGTTCTAAGCAGGCCTATCCATACTGTGCACTTCCCAGGTATGTACAGAGTCTTTACCATACCTAGCTGGGGGGTACTCAGTCCCTAAGGTGTCAGGGAGCCCTGGAGATAGACTCAGGGTGTTCTGGAGGTGTGCTCACTTCCCTTAAGCATGGGAAGGTAACTAGAACCCTACCAGTGGTGTGAGGCAGGTGACTGCCCTTCTGCCCAAGCACACTGCAACACTCCAGCCTCTGTGAGGTATGTCAGATACAATACCCAGGATATGAACTCTTTTTTTTTCAGTTACTCCCATGGGTTAGCACTTGTCATCAGGGAGCTGAATGGGCCAGGGCCCTGAGTAAAGCAGTGCTACTTGGTAGTCATCCACTGGCCCCCTTGTGTGCAGAGCCTGCCTTATGGAAGGAGCCTCAAACGCACCTCCATCTGCAGTAGGAGGGGTAGACAAGGAGCATAGGCCGGGTTCCTAGACAGGCTCACGGGAGAGCGTGATAAAGAGGAGGGTTGAGAGAGTTGACTAGGCTGAGCGGTGCTGGGTGTAGTTACACCGGGAAGATTTTGCTGAGGAAGCAGGTCTGAAGCAGATTTTCTCCCTGAAGAGGCAAGGCCAAGGAAGAGGCTGGGGAGAGAATCCCTTGGAAGCTGTGGCCCTTGGTTCTGTCTCTCACTTAGTGATCTAATTTGTACTTTCCCGTCCCTTCCCAAGCCCTTCCTCTTCCCCTGAGTGCCCTGACTGTTTGAGCGTGGACACCCCCCACTCTGATCCTGCATCATTCACATCATCCTTGTGTCCCTTTGGCCCTTCCAGGTCCCAGGCCTCCTCTGAGAGTGAGGTGGATGATGAAGGTCCCTGTGGTGGTGATGGGGATCCAGGCCTGTTCCCTTTCCCTCTGCCCCGGGGTGGGGCCCAGGCCTCCAGCGAGGAGAGTGAGGAGGAGGGGACATCTGATGACCTCCACCTTTCCCCTGACTGCCATTATGCAACCCGGCCTCCTAGGCCACAGGCGGTAAGGACACAGGACAGGGAGCTGGGATGGAGGGTGGCTAAGTCTCGTAGGCAGATGCCTTCTTGTATCTCAGGTTCTACCAACCATGTTCTTTCCTCTGCCTCCAGTTTTGCACCTTTGGGAGCCGGCTGGTGAGCCCAGGATGCTACGTGTTTAGCCGCCGGCTAGACCGGTTCTGCTCGGCACTCAGCTCCATGCTGGAACGGCATCTCAGCTCACACATGTGGAAGTGAGTTTCATGGACTCAGAACTTAATTTCTCAGGCTTGAGTATCAATCCTTGGGCTTCAGAAGCCCCAGTCTGCTGTGCATTGGCTGATTGCTAAGAACCCAAATTGGGTGTGGCATGACTGGGTGAGACTTGGTAGCCTGGAGGAGGGCGTGGGTGGGTGGTCGGGGTCAATCTAGAGTCTTACCCATCACTTCCAGTACCTTTTAGGTAATGTAGCATGGGGAAATGCTCAAACTAAGACCAAAAATGAGATTGTTAATGGGTCAGCCTGTTAGTTCATATGCCTTGTACTGATAGGTCATTCCTTCTCTTGTGCCTTCCTGGGCTCTTAGTTCCAGTGTTTCCCAGCAGGGGGCAGCAGCCTTGGGGCTTTGCTGGCCATCTGAAGGTGCAGAGACTGGTGTACTTTAGGGAGGCCCTGGAGTTTGCTCAGTATCACAGCGAAGCTCTCTCTTTGCTGCAGGAAGATCCCACCAGCGGCTGAACCTCCATCCCATCTTGTCAGTCCCTCCTTAGCTGATCCCCTGAGTCCATCCTCTATGGGCAGCTGCCCCCGACTCCCAGGCCCATCCCCCCGACCTGCCTGCCCAGCCTCCATACCCCCCATGAAGGACAGCCTTGTCCCTAACTACCCTGCAGGCTCCCCCAGTGTAGCAGCTGCCTGTAGCCAGGCAGAGTGCATGGGCGGTAGCCAGGCTATTACCTCACCACTGCCTGCCAATACTCCGTCTCCGTCCTTCAGCAAGCTGCCACCTTCCAAGGCCAGCAAGTCGTCCAAAAGCAAGGAAGGGGTGGAGATGGAGGCCCCTTCTCGAAAGCGGAAGTTATCCCCTGGCCCTACCACTTTCAAACGGACCTGCATCCTGGAGCCTGCTGGAAAAGGCAAACCCTCTGGCTGTCGGGGTCTCTCAGCCAAGACTAAAACAACCCTGAGCATGGGGCTTAATGGAACAGTGGGGCCGAGAGTGAAAAGAGCAGGTCCCCTGGACTGTCGGGGTTCCCCTCACTCATCCCCCATACCAGTCAAGGCTTCTCAAATAGAGAACCGGGGAGCAGCTGGACACCCAGCTAAGGTCCTGCCAACCAACTGCCTCTCCGAGGAGGAGGTAGCCAAGAAGCGGAAAAACCTGGCCACTTACTGCCGGCCAGTCAAGGCCAAGCACTGTCAGGCGGGTGTCCCTCCTGATGGGACCTGCTCTGTTCGTCGTAGGAAACCAGGTCCAGCCCTGCCCTTTGAGGAGAAGTGCTCTACACTGAAGGTACCAGTCCAGCTTCCTGAAGGACATGGGCAGAGAGGGGTCAGGAGGGCTGAGGCTGGGGAACACAGTAGGTACGTGACGTGGAGAGGGTGCCAAGGAAACCACTCCAGAAAAGGGAATAAAGGGGAAACTGAGAGAACTCCTGGGCCATCTACACTAGGGAAAGGTTAGTTAGCTGTTTCCAAGGTGACCCCAGCTTTTGCCTGAGGGACCTTTCCTCTGCCCAGCCTCCTCCTTTGAGCTTAGGACGTGCTGTCCCATCCCACCTTTACTTGTGCTTTAGTCTAAGGACCATTTCTTCTTGAGCTGTCTGTGGTCCTCCCTCCAGGACTTGGAGCGACTTTTTCTAAAGGGGAAGGGAGTCTGGGTCCCAGCATCCTGAGTAGCTGATGAGTGGGCTGCTGTAGTTTGGTTCTTCCTCTGGCATTAGGACATCAGAAAGCAAGTACTCAATTTAAGGTCCACAGAGTCACTTCGGATTATAGTAGATTCTCCAGGTTTCTAGTAAAGCTTGTAGTTAGGTTTCTTTACCTTTTCTGTTGGAGGGTGCTTTCATCTATCCCTGTGATCTCTGTAAGGAGGGATTCCTGGGAGGTGAGACGGGATCATAGGCTCCTGATTGAGGCATGGATTAGGCGCATGCTCACTGTCCTGGCACCTATGAGGGAAATCTGATAGTTGGTAAAGGACCTGCCTCTGTGTGTACAGGTGTGTGTATGTGTGTTCTCCAGGTTCACTACCCAGTCTGCCTCTGTTAGGCTGGCATTCTTTTTCTCCTTGCTTAGTCGTGTTTATCAGGCCAGCAGAAGGAATTCAAGGGTTAGCCCAGATGTTCACAGGGAAGGATACTAGGTAGGCCCCTACCCTGACCCTGTCTCTTACCTCTTGTCTTCCTGCAGTCAAAAGCCCATTAACGAGAAAGTGCCTGCCCACTGCAACGGAGCCGCCAGCACCTCCTCCCCTCCAGATCCGGGCCCCAGGCTGCTGCCGCTTTTTATAACTTTATATTATTTTTTTTAAGAAAAAAAAAAACTCTTTAAAATACCTCAAGACTGTCTCCCTGTTCTGTTGCTGCTAAGAAAATATAAAAACAGAAACATAGAAAAGGATGAAAAATGATGTAGCTGAATGAGTGTCTTTACTCTCCCCAGCCCTGTCCCGAGAGGCTGAGACGATGAGCAGTACACACTCATGCGCACACACACAGGGCACACAACCTGGAGCTGGTGTCAGTAGGCATCTCCTTCCAGAGAGGATGAGAAGGCGTATGGCCCTGAATGAGCAAGGAGTCCCAGAGAGACAACTCCGCTCCTCTGGAAAAGGAAACAAGGAAGGGAGGGAAGTTACACTTTTGACTCTGCCCTGGAGTTTTTGTCCTCAGGATTTGTGGGAGTTAGTTTACGGCCCTTTTCTGATTCTCTTGCAATTCGGTTTCCATCCCTCTACAGATTATTTCCTTGGTCTCTTTGGCTGTTCTTGCCCTTCCCACTTCTAAACTCAGCCTTAGTTTGTCGACCATGTTGAGGTTGAACTTGGTGTTAACTGCTCTAGAAGTCCTGGCCCGCTTTTTTTTTTTAATTTCTTTAATTATGTGTGTGTGGGTATGTGCATGTGATGTCTGTAGAGGCCAGAAGTGTGGGATCCCCCAAGCTAGTTCCAGTAAGCTGTGAACCCCGGTACGTGTTCTTAACCACTGAGCCATCTCCCCAGCCCCTGCCTCCTGAAGAACGGTATAAAGCTTCTCTCGGATAGGCTGGCCATACCTTTTTGGAGGTAATAGTGTTACAGAACTTGAGGTTGTGAGGGAGCCCTGGTTCCTCTGGATCACCTCGCTCCTCAAGGCTGCATAGCTGGTGTGGAGGTGACAAAAACTGGAAGTGCCTCGGGTCTTTGGAATATCTTACGGGGGACAACTACTCCTGTAAATAGGGATGCGACTACGTATTTCGGTTCTCATTTTTTAATTCACCAGGTTTGGGTCACTATGTTTTGGCTTTTTCTTTTCGTTTATGTTTGGGCAAGGAGGAATCTCGTACCTGAACAAGCTAGAAAAGTCTACAGAGTGAGCAGCCAGGGGAATCCAGTCCTTCTGGAAAGCTGCTCAAAACACTGGGTCACGCTCTTGGGTCAGCAAACCAAGTGTGTGATTTGGAGTTTCGCTGATATCAGTTACTACGGATGTAATTTTCACAGGCGGCTTGAGATACCCTTGTAGATACAAAAGTAGAAATGAAGGTGGCTTGGGAGCTCGGTTAGGTCAATGGAGGTTTCCGGGAGCCGCCCTTTGGGGCCCGAAGCGCTTCCCCCCCAGTCTGCAGAGGGCGCTGTGGGCACCTCCACCACACGGCCCCGAAGCCTCCCCGGGGAGGAGCCTCTCCTGTAGCCGCCGCCGCCTCCGCGATCGCAAACCCGGAAGAAGCCTCTGTTTGCTGGACTGTACCGGCCGGCTTGGCATTGCCATGCAGCTCGAGGAGGTAGGTCTGGTTCCCGCTCCAGCGAGGGAGCCGAGACTAACCCGCTGGCTGCGGAGAGGCAGTGGGATCTTGGCGCACCTGATAGCTTTGGGCTTCACCATCTTTCTGACTGTGCTGTCCCGGCCAGGAACCAGTGAGTGTGCGGGGAGGGGCGGGGCTATGAGAGGGGGCGGAGCCTAGGTGCTGGAGGGGCTGCTTTGGGCACGCTCGGATACGAGAAACCTAGACCCTCAGCTGAGGAGGGGCGGGTCGAGGAGTGGTTGTAAAGGCGTAGTGGGTGGGTCCCCGGAAATCCTGGGAGGGTGGGACTTGAAAAGACAGAACTGACACTTCCTTAGAATGAGGTCCCTTATGGAAAGGTGCGGGGAGGGTCTCGGGCAGACTAAGGTCTACTCTAGGACTGGGCTAGCAGCAAATGCAGAACTCAGGCCAAGGTGGTATAAGGGCTCCTTGGCCGCTACCCCTTTGCGGTGAGTTCCTGATTCTTGCTTAGGCTTGAGACGGTATGCTGACCTTTCCCTTGTGGCCAGATTTTTGCAATATCAGTGATGTCCAGCTGTCAGCCTGTTCTCTTTGATTCTTAGGTCTTTTCTCCTGGCACCCTGTGTTCATGGCCTTGGCGGTGAGTTTGAATATACTTACCTTAACCCTTGGGGAAGCATTCAGTTTTTCAAGATCAGAGAGATAGGGTCAAAGAAGGCTTGATCTTTCCCTGAAACCTATAGGATTGGGGGAAATGTAGTAAATTATCAGGGGCTTGAGGTTGGGGAGGGGCTATCTCTCCTCCAGGGTCTGAAAGGAAGAAGTGAGAGGAATGTTATCAAGGTCTTGCTGTTCTGTGGTCCAGAAAGGGCGTGTGTGAGGCAGGAAGTCCCTTTAAGCTCCCATGTTTTTCTGGATGTGGGATAAGACCTCCTTTTTCTCGGGCCCCATGCAGACCAGAGGTTCACTGACCTTCTCCTGTGTTTACAGTTCTGTCTCTGCATGGCTGAAGCTATCCTACTCCTCTCACCTGAGCACTCCCTGTTCTTCTTCTGCTCTCGAAAGACCCGGATTCGACTGCACTGGGCAGGGCAGACCATAGCCATCCTCTGCGCTATCCTGGGTTTGGGCTTTATCATCTCCAGCAAGATCCGCAGCGAGCTGTCCCATATGGCGTCCTGGCACAGCTGGATAGGAGTTCTGACACTCATGGCCACTGCGGGACAGGCACTGTGTGGGCTCGGCCTCCTCTGTCCGCGGGCAGCCCGGGTCTCAAGGGTGGCTCGTCTCAAGCTCTACCATCTGACATGCGGCCTGGTCGTCTACCTGATGGCTACAGTAACAGTGCTCTTGGGCATGTACTCAGTGTGGTTCCAGGCCCAGATTAAAGGTGCAGCCTGGTACCTGTGCCTGGCACTACCGGTGTACCCGGCCCTGGTGATCATGCACCAGATCTCCAGCTCCTACTTGCCAAGGAAGAAAGTGGAAATGTGAATGTCTCCAAACTCTGAGCCTAGGCGGGATTCTTGGACTTCAGCAGTTCCTTGGCACACCTCAGAGGCAGACGATGTTTTTGCACTGCGTGGTTGAACCACGGGGTGCAGAAACCCTAGCTGTTACTGCTGAGGGATGATCTGGTGGGCTTCAATGGGGGAAATGTACTACTGGGTGCAAGTGGAAGGTTCTGGAGAACCTGAAGCCTCACCTTGATGGGATACAAAAGTATTAGGTGGTGGTGCTGATGGTGACGGTGGTGACTTTTTGTTTGTGGAGTTCCTGTTGGTTATGAATGACAGCCACAGGCAGATATCGGGGTCCCTTTGGAAAGGCAGTACTGTGGTAGCCTGTGGTCTCTTTGGCTGTGCTGTACAGTCGCCCTTAGACAAGCTCCGTATCTCAGGACCTCAGTTTCCGCACCCTTTAACATTTGGTGTCTGGCAGATTGATGTTACTGAATACCTCCTTAGCTCTGGACCATGTGAACAGCTCAGGATGTAATTCTCTCCTCCATGCTTCCTTCACTCCCCTGGAAGGACAACTCTATACCTGCATCCTTCAGAAATCTGTGCTGGCTCCACTCCTGAACCAAGGAACAGGGGCCATGAATCATGGAAAGAAGGGACTGAGGTGAGGGTCCCCTAGACAATAAGATAGTAAAGGCACTAAAGTCACTTTAAAGTTCTTTGGAGGAACAGAAGGGCATTGTCCTTAACCAAGCCCTGGACTACTGGCCTCCTTAGCTCAGCTAAGAACTTCCTTCAGGCTACCTCTGGGTCTAGATTGTAGAGTCTGGGAATTCTCTCGACATTCATTCTCAGGGCATCTGACACTGCCCGTAGGACTTAGAGTATATACTTAGCACATTGCTCCAGGGAACTATTCTTAGGCTTTCGGAACAAAATAAAAACCAGGGAGTGGGACCCCCTTGATTCAAGGAACTCAGTGTCTCTCTGGTTGTCCTTCCCTTCTTGGTTTTTTTTTTTTTCCGAGACAGGGTTTCTCCGTAGCTTTTGATTCCTGTCCTGGACCTAGCTCTTGTAGACCAGGCTGGCCTCGAACTCACAGAGATCCGCCTACCTCTGCCTCCTGAGTGCTGGGATTAAAGGCGTGTGCCACCACCGCCCGGCTTTGTCCTTCCCTTCTTGTCATTTAAGTTTTCCTTAGCTGTTCCCTGCCAGCCCCTTGGCTTAAGAGTGGGATGATTTTGGTACCAACTGGGCTCTCTTCCCTGCCAAGATACCTCCTTGGTCCAGCTGAGTTCCTCAGAGCATCCTTAGCGGTGAGGACTGGATGTCAAACCACTTAGCTGTGGTGTGGGTCAGTCCAGGAGACAAACCCTTTATAGATCCTAATAAGGAGTAGAGATTGCTGAGCCAGGAAATGTACACGCCCAGCTTTCTCCCTGGAAGGCAGAGCCCATCAGAAACTATGGGAGGCCTGAAGTATAGGGGCTTGAGCACAGACAAAGGAGAAGTATCTGTTCTATGTCTCGGATCCTCTGAAGATTTAAGGCCTCCTCTCCAGGTAGCTCAGAAATTAGGTGGGTGGGATTCAATAGTATGGGGACGGGGACCCTAGGGCTGAAGTGGCTTCTTAGTGGCCCTCACTGTGCTTTTCCTCAGGGAGATAGCATCTCTCATAAGTTGTCTAAATACAGCTTACTGAAACAGAGGCTCCTGCAGCACAGAGGGAAACCATTCTTGTCTTTTTCAACACCCGCTCTCCCTCTCAAGCTGTCCAGTGTGCTGTGAGCTTGGAAGGAATGGTTACTGGGCCCTGAAAGAGGGTCTCACTAGGGTCACTTTGATGTAGGGCTCCCCAGGGTGGGCCAGGTAAGGTTCAGCAGCTCGTTCTCAGAGAGAGAGGCGATGCCGGAAAGCCTGAGCCTGCCTGAGGTGTTGCCTCTTCCCAGGTGGTGCGGGGGCTGGTGGGCGGGCGGGCGGGCAGGCGTGCTGACAGCCGGCAGTTTGCGTGGGCTGTGCCATCTGATGTCTATTCCCAGCCCCGGGAGGAAGGGGAGTCATTTATATTCTGCAGGAAGAAGGGACCCAGCTGTCGCTTCCTCTGACCAGTGGGCCTGGAG